ATAAAAATGGAGGGATGGAGAGGGAGGAGTTTCAGGCCATGGTTCCATGTCTGAGTTTCTTTCTTCTGTTATATAAAGCCAGCAGTGCCTATATAACAGTCCCTGTTTTGTCATACACAAAGGACACCTTCCATTTTCGAATAGCTTAGTCTTGGCCCACCAGGTTTAGGTTTTCTTAAACACTTTTCTACTGTCAGAAGCATGGCCTCGTATCAGGAATTTGAATCTGGTTCAAATTAAGTTTGCACAGGACAGAAATTGTAGGTTATAGCTTGCTGCCATCAGACAGACTGTTGGCCGGACCCAGCTCAGGGTGCAGCAACACCAGCAGCTGTCTGAGAGCACCGGTGTGGGGCTTTGCCGAAACATGTGGGTGAGGGCTCTCACCGAGCAGAGCAGGGTTTCTGCCTCCCAGCTCACATACGTAGGTTAAGTTAGAGTTTGCATACTCCTCTCTCTCTCACCTCTGCCACCCCAAATCCAGTTGCTTCCCACCATTCTCTTTTCAGTTTTAATGCTAAAGTCTGGTAGTAATTATTTGCCTGTTATTACTGTCATTACTCCCCTTCAGGAGTTTTAAGACAATAACCCAAGATTCCAGGATCAACTGAAAACTTGTGGTTTTGGATCATTCCCAGTCTTTTGCTAGGTGCACTTATTACATGTTCTGGTGCATTACTGTTTGCAATTAAACTGCAGATTTCCAGTCAGACAGTGACAGTTTTAACCCTACTTTATGGGAAGAGCAGAGACAGCAACGTATGACTGTTGCCTTTGAATTTGAAGAAAAAAAGGAAGAAGAGGAAAATGCAGGGAAAGTTAAGGTAAGTTCTGTCTGATTTACGCTGCTGCTCAGGTAATATGGACAGGGTCTAACTTACAGATCTTCTGCTGAAGTATTTTTATGTTTTAAATGTTCAGAAAATACTTTAAACTGTAATGCAAGTGTAGCAGTTGAGGAGGAATAGCATATCTTCTCTCCCTGAAGTACGCATTAATAATTTCTGGTTTTGCTGTTGTTGTCTAGACAGCAAAAGTTTGTTTTCATGAGTCAGTAAAGGCCCGTAACCCTAATGTTTGGTTCCTAATGTGACAGGTGTTTTATAACTAAAACAACACAAAATGTTTGGAGGCAGACAATTGCTATCCAATCATTTAATACTTTAGAAATATTTAGATCACATGGGTGATTCTGTATTCACTCAAAGTGGACGTGGATGAAGGCTTTGCAACTTCATGGTGTTAGAAATGAGTGTGCACTGCAGGAGAGGATGGAGAATGGAAAGCATTACCCCTTAAATTTTGTAACCTGCCTATAAAAATGAGGATAATTATTTAAACATAAATGTCCTCCCCCACTCATCTGTAATTAATATAATTCAGAGTTTTCAGCTGAGTCATTAGTGGTTTGTACTGTTAGAAGGATATTGTCAGGTCCTTCTATTTTTTGCATGGCATGAAGATTTCTGTTTCTAGTACAATATCAAGGAATCATCCCAGATCAGACACTTTAACACTGCAAATTTTTAACTGATGTAAGATACCCAATGTAAGAAGTGTCACCAAAGACAATATCATATGAGATGACAACCATATTTTAATTTAAAATTTAGCAATAAAATATATTTATTAATAGCCATTTAGTTAACATTCCACTTATATCATCTTGGGAATTTTTTATTTTCCTTTTTAATAATTTCTATTTATTCTAATTATGAGTTTTCATCTGATTGCTTGTGACCAGCACTAATGGACTCTACTGTTTTAGTTATATAGAAATGAATCCAGTTTTAAAAAAAAAAAAAGCAACCTTTGACTCACAATAAATAGATTAAATTTTACCCTGGAAGAACTGCAGGTGTATGGTCCATGTGTGGAAAACAGCATCTGGAAGAATTTTGCATTGTTTCACCACTTCTAACTACAATTTTAACTCTGGGCAATATGGCTGTCCAAATGTCAAAAACAATTGGAATATTAACAGAAAAATAGATATGAATTTCTAAGATGATAGGAAGTTTTAATTGTATGTTATTTGCAAGCACTATTTTCGATATTCAAATGTTGTAACATAATGAATCAAATCCCTTATATTAAAATCAGAAAGGCTATTTATTTCAGAACCCTACGAATGACTGAAAATGTTTTCTTAGAATAAATTGTTCTTCCAGAAGAAATAAATCCTCCATACGCGGAATGCTGCTCTTGTACTTCAGCTCAAATGCTGCCACCTGCTGTACAGTGAGGCAAGCATAAAATACATGATACCACATTTTCAGTGGTCCTGGGAACAGCCCTTAACAACACTAGGACATGGCTTGCATCTATGGTGTGAGCAAAAGTCTCCGCACGGTCCTGTCTGGGACCCTGCTCTGCTGTACCAGCGCTGTTCAGGGAGTTGTCGATGCTCTCTCTGCTCACAGTGCTTTCTTACCTGAGCAGTTCGGTCCTTCCTGGTAATTGTTGCCCCATGTGTGGCCTGTGGGGCAGAATTTGCAATCCCAGAGGTGTGCATTTGGTCAGCAGCTGTCTCAACTCAGTTTCAGAGGAAAATCAGAACGGCAGCATGGCCTTTGGCCTGGCCAGTTGTGCTATTGGCAGAAGGATTGATGTTTGTCCTTGTGGGTGATCCATGTTCCACGGAGATGTAGCCATCCGTAAAGTTTTGGCTTAGCCATCTGAAGGGCAAACAGTCTTCATCCTTCATATCACCACTCCTTAGTGGACAAGAGAGCATATAAAACAATATTGTAGTACGAATCCCTTTCTGCATGAGATTGCTGTATTCCCGTATATGATCCTACGTTCCTCTTCTCCATAATGATCACAACATCTCTTCATCAGAACAAAACCCCTTTACCTTTATATTTGACACCAAATTCTGCAGCTGATTCTATTGTTTTTGCTTATATAGAGAAAAATTATTAAATGAAATGCGAAGTATGGAGCTAAGAGCTGGTCAGAGATTTCCTCCAATTTGTATGCCTTCAGGAGAGCATCTCCCCACTCTGTCGTATCTCACTGCATATAAACCAGATACCTATAAACACCTGCAGTTTGTAAAAACTGAAAGTGGGGAAATAATACTGTTCAAAGCAGGGACATCTTACCAAGTTTTGAAAAGAAAAGATTTCCCAATATAGATTTGTTTTTTCCTTTTCCCTGTCATGGAAAACATCCTTTTTACCCAAGCCATGAAAAAATGAGCTCAAATGAAATGACTGATAATAGGATAGAAACATCTATTTCCATCCTTCTGCTATGTCCGTGCTCTTTCCCAGTAAGGCTAATCATCTCAAACGTTACAAAGAATTACTTGACCAAACTGTTCACCAGCCTGCGTTTAGATTCATGAGCATGCGCTAAAAACTAAATTCTGGAACATTTTGTTTACTTAGTGTTTGTCCCTCCATATGTGTGATTTTAGGGAGTTTTTACCATGAGCACTTTTAGCAATTGCACTAGACCTGGACAGGATAAATTTAAAGATTATCCTCAATTATCAATAGGAGGTAACGACAAACTTTGGTAGCTTTTTATAAAAGCATACATAGTTTTCACTTTGTATCTTTTATAGTTAAAATTGACTGTCAGCCAACTGTATGTTAAAATAGATTTGGTAGTTGAACTTACTCAATAAATTCTTCCATCAAGAATATTTCACTTGGAAAGTTCTCTTTTCAGGGTCATGATACTTTTGAGGTAACATTAGAACATACACAAATTTTATAGACAGGGAATATAGATTTTATCTGTAGTGGTAATTCTCACTGCTTTTAAGATCAGTCATGGAAGTATCTGCATTCCAATGTTTATCACCTGCTATAGCAGCCAGTCTTTTTAAAGTTTAAGATTAATACTCATAATGATATGTGAGAGTCTTAATAAGATCCCTGTCTATGACTTGCCTATCTCATGAAAGTCTGTCAGTTAATTTATCCTTATTTGGTAGTTACTGAGGATTTACTATGTGACTTGACTTCTAGCTTTGCTTGTCTGTACACTTTACACTGAAATCATGGCCCAGATTTTGTGAAAAAGCGATTGCCTAATTAGGCCACGTTTTAATATGATTTCTTTCAACCTAAATCAACCTCAGCTTTACTAGTGCTGTGCATTGCACACTTACTATCTTTTTTCTGTTGAAATTGTTTGTTAACATATGACATTGTAGCCATACATTTTAACATTTCATGTTAAAATCAAGTCAGAATCTATTATCTGGAACGTTATTTTATGGTAGTTCAGAATTATACACTAGTATTTAATACAGTTTTATTTCCCAAATCTGTCATGCTTTGCACCTAAGACATTCCCATCCGTAGACCATATTCATTGGAATCCAAAATTACTTTTTTCCCATAATATAATAAAGTTACCTATTAAAAGTAAGCTCCGTTTGCTTACTTCACATGCACAGCTTGTAGTAAATGCTTCTTTGTGATAAATGCCTCCAAATACATTCTTCTCATGTGGTAAATGTGAAGTATTTTCAAATTTCATAGCCTCAGTAAAAAGAAACAGTTATCATGACACACTGCTTGTACTGGGAGCTGTAATTTTGATTCGTTGAGGGATTTTACTTCATTCCCACACCAAATTCAGGCCCAAAGAGAGCGACAGACTCAACAGCACCTTCTGGGTTTCAGCTGACTGCATTTATCTTATGTTATTTGTGCTGTGCAAGAGGCTTGCTTATAAGGGGCTGCTCCAGAGGATGTGCTTTATGTTTGATCCCTTGAATCGTGGATTTTGTGTTGAAACGAAAACTGTACTTTGCAACTCATATAAAGAGAGTGGAGACAGGGCAGGTTTTCAGTATGAAGGGCGAGTGGAGGACAGAGTGGCAGGGCAGGAGGAGTTCTGCGGGGGAGAGGGACATGGCAGCTGCCTCACTGCTGGGGATGGACTAGGCTTAAGGTACCAACCTACAAAACTACCCACTCTCTCTGCACCACTCAAACAGGCTTGCTGAGGACATGCTTTGTTTGGATGTACTCTTCTCTTTCCCCAACATCTCTTCTCACGACATGGTCCCCAGGAGACAAATTATACCTTTAACTCAGTGGGGAAAGGTATAGGGAGAGGTCAGCATCGTGCCTTCTTTCCTGCTTGGATTGCTCCTCGAATGCTAATTTGTTGCACTGTCTCCTCAGAGGAGTTTGCTGATAGTTGCGTCATCTTCCACCACGTGATGGGGAGTGACGTAATCCTCAACCACTCGTCCCCCTCAGCTCAACCCTACAATTTTATAGAACTGTCTTAAATCTAGGATTGCTTTGGACTTGGGTAGATACAATGATTTCTCTACTTCTGAGTGATAAAAATTATAAATTTGAATGATGAGTATTGTAGGAAATCCATAGGTCTTTCAGTCAACTAAAGTACTCTTCAGTGTGACTCAGGGTGCCATTTCTGTAGTGATTTGAGTCTGTTTTCCTGTATTTTCTGTATACGTAAGAGTAAGATTCATACATTTGAGGGCATGTACGCCCATTATACATCTCAAAGAGCAAGTAGGTCCCAGTAGATCAGATTCTGTTCTCAGTTGTTATAGATAATTCAGATTAATTCAGTACACTGAACATAGCTAAATTAATTCTGCCAGTATTTAGACCAGTATTTTTATGAAAAAGTGTGATTTAATATGTTAGTACTCTCAAGTCAAGCGTAGAATTAAAACACAGTGCTCTCACAGGGTAAAAGAGGTTTATAGGGAGGCATTCCCATTCGTTCCTTTATGTCACTGAAGTTCCATTATAGATTGAGAGCAAATTTCAGTTCAAGGGCTTAAAAAAAAAAACCAAAAAAACAAAAAAATTGAAGATAAATATATGTAATGCATTACCCCAAGTAGATTAATTCAAAATCTGAGGAATGTGCACTTTTAGCCACAGTACTATAACCATAGTTTTAGTTTGCATGTTGTTTTCATTTTGTGTTTATGTTTTAATTCTTTTTATGAATGTTCAGGTTGAAATAAATCTAAAACGTTATCCTACTCCATACCCGGAGGATTTAAAGAATATGGTAAAATCAGTTCAAAATCTGGTGGGCAAAACAAGCCATGGATTACGGCCTGAGAACTCAACACCAACCGCGAACAGCGAACAAACTGTGAAAGAAACATTTGAGCACAAGTGGCCCATGACACCAAAGGAGATTTCAGTGGAGGTAATGTAACAGGACCGTTGTTCCCTTCCAGAGTTCAAGATGGGGTTTTAATATAACTCCATCAAATGATATTCTGCATCGGTTGTGAACGTCATACCTCATAGTTTCTAGTTTCATTCTTTAAAGTTAATTTAGTTTTATATTGAGTCTGCTGTTTTTCCCAGTACTGCTAAGATTATCAGATTGAATTTTTAGTTTTAAATCTACTTTGGTCTGAATTTTGGTATTGATATATACAAACACTCTCCTAAATTTTAATGATATGATGGACTTGCATAGCAGCAGGAGAATGGACCTTATCATGGTTTACACCTCAGTCTTAAATAAGTGTATTTCTGAGTCAAATATGTAAATGAAAAAACAATTTATTCTGTCTGGCACTAGTTTCTACTGCTTCTATTCACATTAAACTTAATACATAGCAAATAAACCTTATCAAAAGTTAGTGAAGCCAGTAGGAATGCTTCTCTGGCTGCAGGGAACTTTAGATCAGGCCTCCTTGAATAAGAACTTACTGTGAGTTACAGAATGTGCACCTTAATATGTGTTGGCTAAAGGTGGATCAATATGTATATGAACAAAGTTTTCTATTCTCATGTGAGAGGTGACCATATACTACAAAAGGCCAGTCTTGTCCAAACCTGATTTAGGTGACTGCAGCTTGATCTCAGAAGACATCTACTCATTGACACGTTCACACTGACTGTGTGTGCGTAGTTTGTAAATTAGGTAAATCTTTTGCCCTAACAGTGTTTACTGATATTTTTGTAACATGCTTGGACAGGACTACAAGAGGACCTGCATTCTTGAAAATCTTTATGATTCAATTTTATCAATTTTTACCTTTTCGCCTCCTTTTTATTTAAACATCATGACAGATTTATTGTCCTTGAAATATCCCTGTCTGTGGCTAGCGGTATATGCATGAATTTTCCTTCCCCAGTTTTCCATGTACATAACACAGATCCAGGCTATTTTTATATATTCAGCAGTCTCTGCAGCTGCTCTGTCAGCTGCTCGGTCTCTGTGTTTCATTTACAGGTAAACATTTCTATTTCTTTAAAAAAACAAAATGATTTTCTCTTAAGGTGACTAGAAAATTTTCTTCACTTCTAGGCACTGTTTGGATTAGTACTTTAAACTAAAATACGTAAGTTAAATCATTAATTGCTTTTATCTAAATCTGAAATTTTAACTTCCGCCATTATTCCTTTTTGCGCATAAAATTCTTTCTCACAGTGCAAATCTGGCCTTTTAACCGACTGTGTTGTGCAGCATAACGTTTACAAGTTCTCCTGTTCCCATCAAATACAAGTTATTTTGCATATCTCATTTTTTAACTTAAAAATTCTCAATGAGTTTCTGCTGCCTTAATAGTCCCTACTGTGAACTCACACAAATGATGTATCTGGAATTTGAATCAATGTTGTCTGCCGCAGCAGAGAGTCCTGTGGGTGGGTGGGTATGCAGAGCTTAATGAAACCTCCGTTACGGAGGTGGAAGGAAGGAGTAGGTGGGCAGTAACACCATAAAATACTACAGCTGCTCTGAAACGATTGTGTGACCACATACTGTGTTCTAACAGAGAGGAAGATAAAGAAGACCCATACCATTCCTGTTTTATTCTGTGAGAAAAATGCACTTGACTTTTGCAACAGAAAAATAATCATTTCTAGTTTTTCTGTGAATGTACATGAACTTTAGTTGTATGAGTATCAATAGAAGTATTCTGTAAAGATAGATGAATTGCCAAAGACCCTGCAGTAATTCCTGAAGTGCAAATAAATGGTGAGATTGCAATTTGCTAGTTGATTTTCTGCCATAAACAGCTGACATGAGCGCGTGAATGTTTCCATCATATCAGTGAAGATGTATTTCTTGTCTTCCATTATTATAGTAGTGAAGATGATGGATCTTTTTTGGATTTTAGTTTCCCTAATATTTAGTCAAGACTAGTAACACTCCTGCTGACTGAAGGAAATAAAAGTATGTTCTCGTCATTCATACAGCTGGTGATCTTTAAGACTGACTTCTGTGGTGATAGAAAGTGTTGGTCTGTTCTTGGTTGTACAGCCCTCTTGGTTGTATTTCTGACCGCCTGGAGAGACAAGGTTAACGTGAGCATTCCTCCGACTGCTTGCCAGTCTGCAGGATTGCAAAGCAGAGAGACATGTGGCAGTAACAGTCATTATGCCCTTCCTGCCTATGACAATTTTTTTCCAAGATCTACCAAGTCATTTTGTGTGGAGCCCTCAAAGACTTACCTCTGCCCCACTCTTCCTCATGTACTAACGTCACCAAGTCAGTAACGTCTCCTTTTAAAGCTCTGCTGTCTGTCTGAGACAGCCTGCTGGAGCCGTCTGGGCTTCAGCGTTGTGCTGGCTGCTGTCTCTGTCCTGTGTCTGCAGGTGAGAAGTGTTTCAGGGTTCATTCGTTCTTTGGCTTTCAGATTCCAGATCCACATTCAGATTTCAGATTCAAGTGAATTTTCTGAAGAATTTTTCCTTCCACCGGTGGAAGTTCAGTTCTTTAATGGGACTTAAATCTTGTCTTAACATCTTGGTTGGGACAGCCTTCAACCTAATAACTAGTGAAACTGGTCTTCCTGGAAGCTGCCACTGCAGCCAGAAAAATAGGAGAGATTTGGGCCCAGTTGGAAGATGCTGCCCTCTATGTTTTTCTGGGATAAACCCAAATTTCAGGGGTATATTTGGTTCATTCCTAGCCATCTGACTGAATTACATTTTGATTACTCTGATTATTTTGTTCTCTAAGCTAAAAATTTTCTATTGCCTGAGCTTCAGACAGACTACGTTATGTAATCTTGTCAGGAAAAGACTTTTTAGTCTAAAAATTCTGAAGTCTGAAACTGTCCACACGCAGAGTTGCGAGCTCTAAGTACTGCCTTTTTCCACGCAGAGTGTAACACAGGATAAATGGCTCAGGGAGGGTTTGTTCTGAAACTGAACCACTGGACCTAACTGCAATTATCAGGAAAGATACTAAAAAGTCCTAAGACACCCTTGTGGTGATCCCAGAGACCCTGCTTGTGCAGATCCCACTACCAGGACTGCCAGAAGTTATTACAATTCTGAACCCAGCTCTATGCCTCATTTAGTCACACTCGCATCTAAGGATATTCTGACATCTAACCGGTTGCGTTTGTTGCTACACTTTTTGTCATCTCCTTTATTCTTTCAGTAAAGTTTTAGCAAAATCTAGAAAAGTAGCATTTGCCTTGGTCTGTTTATCTGTTGTCTTTGTTTTTCGATTTCTTTTTAGCCAGTTGTCAATTCTTCAGATTGCTCTAGCCTTCTCCCATTCAGAAGTTCTGCCGACTCTTTTCATATGTTAAATTGTTCCTCTAGAGTAGATGCATTACTGATGGTCCTGCGCTGTCTGTCTTGCGCCTGCTGCATCTGCCCGGAGCCCTGGTCTGCTGTATTCAGAGGCTTTACATTCTGTGCCAATAGACTCTTGTATTAGGTGTATTAGGTGTATTAGGAGTATTAGGGGATTTTGGAAAACACAGCTCTCTCGGCTTTAATTTGATGTTTTTGTGTTGTCATCATGAATAATTGCCAATGTTTCTCTTTCCCACTTATTTGACTGGCTTTAACCATGTGTCATCTCATGGGAGGCAACTCATTTTTTTTTTTATCCTGTACCCATATCTTTCTCTGGTTAGTCCTGAGGAATACATTCTCACTCAATACAATTAAATTTATCTTTTTCTTTTGTTCTTGAAATTTACCCTATTAATAATACTTTGTTTTTTCCTACTAGTGGCTTTTTTGTTCTTGGGCTTGTAAGAGCAAGGGTCCTCTTAAGCAGAAGAATTAAATGAAATATGACATACGATGTTTTTATACTTCACATCATCTTTCACATTCACGGCATGGTAACAAATGCCAGAATAATTCTTTGAAAAGTGTATTGATTTTTGTTGGAATAGCTAGACTGAGAGCTAAAGTGAAAAAAATATATATATATAACAGAGAACATTTCATAAAATCATGCTCCTAAATAAAAACCTATATTCATCATTATGTCAAATATGGATATCAAAACTTTTATGAACTGGTTCTTCCAATCTTACAGAAAGTAGTTTTGTTTTAAGCTTATGACGTTTGGAAGTTTCATGGCACAATATGGGGATTTCAGGTTCAAGACAGAGAAAATAGAGAATTCCAAAAGGGCCACCTGTCTGATACAGACAACATTCCTAAATCAGCTTTGGAAATCCCAGGCAGGAAGGAGAAAGAAGAGCATACAAAAAGCTTAGAGGTACAGCAAGAAACTTAAGGTGCACCTTGCTTCGGAAGTAGAGAGTTTCACAGTCTGGGCATGCTATGCACTTTGTTATTTTTCAAAAAATGGTTTTGCCTGGTAAGTTCGTTATACTGAGGGGGAAATGATTGCGCTATACTGGAAAAATGCTGTTGCACTCGTGTTAGCTGTGAGTTTTATGTACAGCGATAGTGTTATGTAAGAAAAGCTATATACCACAAGGGAGCTGTATATACCAAAATTGTTTAAAATCTTGAATATATTATACCATGTAAGGGTCAGTATGTAGCTATATTTACTTAAGCGTTAGCAGTGAGGAGGTTAAATAAATGGGCTATGAAGATACCTATTCTTTGCTATTCTGGTATGGTGTAACTATACCGAAGGCAGAAAGATTTAAATATCCATTGTGTAAATATAATTATATTCTTCAAGGATAAATTATGAGGCAAATACTTCTATGAATTTTTGTTTACTCTGCTTATACTAAAAAGTAGTTAATGGAGCCTAAACCTCTCAAAATATGAGCACAGTATTTTACATTTTAATAATATATTTTTGTTTTCACGCCAATTTAAATTATTTCTCTAAATATTACACCTCTTTCCTTTATTGACTTCTCTGTGCAAAACCTTATGACCCGTAATCATTGGAGTACCTTTATCAACAAAATGTCAGAGTTCAGAGATCCTCATAGGGTCTCCCTCAGTGTAAGTTACCCTCCTAAATATATTTCTCCCAACCGTTCCTACCTCATTTTTACTGCTATTTATTTACTTTCTCCTAATATCTCTCCAAAAATCCTCTTTTTTAGTAGATGCCCTTCTCTCCCAACTTCCATCCTCTTTCCAAAAACACAACTCATTGTGCTGTTCCAAAGACTATGCATGTTTTACCCCTTCCCACAAGGATCTTCACTGGAGTTGGTACCACTTCCCAGTGTTGCTATGCCCCTTTCCATCAGTTCCCGTTCCATGGCCTTTCCTTGGGCTTGTGCACCCTAACACCTGCTTCCCACAAAATGGAGTTCCCACATTGCTCATTTCTCCAGTCCCCTCTCTCCAAGGTACCTGTCTTGAGGTCTCATTTCGGAGCTTTCTTCCAGTGACGGGGTAAGAAATGGCACTGAGACCCTATTTGTGTCTTCATTCCCTTCTTCTAGCTAGGGATGAGCCTAATTTACATGCCCCAATTCAAAAATCTCTCTTTCTATGGCTACTGTGTCACTTTCTTTTCACCTTTTGACTCACACTATTTACAGCATATATGTTATTGCTGGCTAGAACAGAAAAACAGTTGTACAGCCTTTGAACGTTAAGGTTTGCTGAACTCTCGGTGAGAAGTCTATGAAATCAGAGTCATTTTAAGTTAGGAAAAAACTCCTCGGAGACAAAATCATTTTGATTTAATATAGCTTTAGGAACAGCTGAATAAGTGGAAGGACTTGTGCCACAAATAAATGAAAGAGGAATTCTTAGTCCAGAAATAATAAGGAAATGGTTATTGTAATTTTTTATTTATTTCTACTGACAGCTTGCATTTTTGTGACCTTTACTTCATCAAAAATGTTTACGTGGCCTTGACACATCTTACAAGTTCCATCTGTTTTGCCCACATTTTCAGAATGAACCCATCACACTAATATTACAAGTAATTGCTGTAAAACTAATTACAATTTTCAGCTGATGAACCAGCATGATTAGACACACCACCTGTGTGGCAGTGTTTCCGCGTGTTTTCAGCTTAGTTAAAAAAAGGCTCTGAAATATTTGTTTGCTGCAGTTTGAAGCGAACTCTGTTTCCTGTGTTTATTCTACATTGTTATATTCCTCAGGATGCCTATGGACATCCTGCCAATGAGATGAGAATAGGGGAGCTTCGTCCTTCCATGCCAGAGACGCCGTTGTACCAGCCCAAACTTGTTCTCCTGGGTAAAGAGAAGAAAGGTACTGACTTGACTTACAGTGGCTTTTTAGATGAAAGCATACATAATGCACACAGATAGATAAGGCACGTTTCTTAAGGTATTCTATACTTCCCTCTGATTTTAAACTATATTACAGGCATATTTGTGCACAATCTATATTCATAGTATCAATTTAAAAATGTATTTTTTCTGGAGTTCATTTTCCAAATGCCACCTCCTGAAAATATGTGCTGTGTTTTGTTTCAGAATCGACAGATGAATCTGAAGCAGATAAGATGCATTGTCTGAATAACAGCGTTTCCTCAGGCACTTACTCAGACTATTCCCCTTCCCAGGCTTCCTCAGGGTCCTCCAATGCACGTGTTAAAATGGGGTCCTTGCAGACAACGGCTAAAGAAGCAGTGAATAATTCTTTGTGGGGGAACAGGTGTGATCATGTTTCATAACACAGCTTCCTGTTGCCTTTTTGACTTAGGTTGTTACATATGCATTCAGGCAAAATGATGGTATGCTATCTGTAAAGGCATTCAAATCAAAATACAACATTTTACCCCAGTTTTCTAGAGGTGCACATAGCTGTACAGAGCCCAGGCTGTAGAGAGTTAGCCCCCCGCTCATGCTGTATAAATATTAGTAATTCTACAGCTGTTTTTTCAACTGTGTGGTATAACCATGCATTAAAGGCATCTAGTAATTGAGCTACAGTTATTCTGCTCTGTGTGATCCTGAGCTGCAGCTGGCTATAGTTTAGCACAGTTAACAGAGTTTATGTGATTCACATTCATTCTGTCCTGAGCCTCAGTTTTCCATGGACCTCCAAGCATAATACAGTTCCTTGGAAGTTTGCAGTGGCCATCAGTAGCCTTAAAGCACTCACGTACTGTACCACGAATACCCTGCCATATCTGTTCCTACTGTAGGCTGCCTAAACGTAGTTCCATCTTAAGAAATCTGCAAGCTCCTCATCATTAAACACAAAGGTTGGAGCCTACTCACTGGAGATGTGTAAAATCTTGGTGGTGAGAACGTGCACAAACTGAATCTGTGTTTTTCTGTTGTTGTTAAAAAAAAAAAAAAAAAAGCAGATGTTAAAAATTTTCCCTGCACTTACAGAAGATTATTTTTAAAGTAGGAAAATAAGTTATGTTTAGTTGGATTTACATGAACAAAAGGCATTGAGCCATCCAGGACTTTCGACTCACTTTGTTATTTCTCCATGTATATATTTACAGCTTCTGTATTCCAGTGCAAAACTGCTGCAGACGTTCATGCCAAATCAGTGGTGCACAGAGCACATCTCATAGTACGATCCTGAAGCCTGAGTGTAGATGGGAGAGTATCAAATAGCTTTATACCCGCGTCTGTCTGATGATTGCTTACATGTTCTAATAGAGGATATCTGATCCGGTTTTATTTTGTTTTATTTTTGCAGGCTAGTGCAGTCATTTCCACAGCCCCTTGAAACAAAGCCATTACTGAGCCAGCGGGAATCTGCTCCAGCAGGAAACCTGCCGCAGCGCAACGACAGGCGCCCAATGAGCGACACTTTCACTGACAGTTGGAATGATAGTCCGCACTACGATAATACAGGGTTTGTTGCAGAGGAGAGCGCAGTGGAGAATCCTAGTGCTAACCCTCTCTTAAGCGCTAAATCTAGAAGCACATCTGCACATGGACGCAGGCCGTTAATTAGACAAGACAGAATAGTTGGCATTCCTCTGGAGCTTGAACAGCCTACACTCAGAAATACACATGAATCTGAAGTGCCTCCTCCCAATCCTTGGCAAAATTGGACCAGAACTCCTAGTCCTTTTGAAGACAGGACAGCTTTTCCTTCCAAACTGGAAAACACCCCCACCACCAGCCCTTTGCCTGAGCGGAAAGATCATGTCAAAGAGTCTCCTGAAATAGCTAGCACTTTCACTCCAGGAATAGCATGGGAATATCATGATTCAAATGCTAACAGAAGTCTCACGAACGTCTTTTCGCATATTCACTGTCGCCCAGAACCTACTAAAAGTGTTATTTCAATCAGCAAGAGTACAGAAAGGCTTTCTCCAATGATGAGAGATTTAAAAACTAATAAATTTAAGAAGTCACAAAGTATTGATGAAATAGACATTGGTACATATAAAGTTTATAATATACCTTTAGAAAACTATGCATCTGGTAATGATACTGTAGGAACCCATGAGAGAGTAGATAAGCTTATAGGGCAGGAGCATGGCATGTTGAGCATGTCTCGCAGCCAGTCTGTGCCAATGCTGGATGATGAGCTGCTGACTTACGGAAGCGTTAAGGTGCAGCAGCCGCAGAAGTCTTCTGTGACAAAGAAAGTCTATCAGTTTGACCAAAGCTTCAATCCGCAAGGAGCAGTGGAAGTCACAGCAGAGAAGAGGTTACCACCACCTTTCCAACACAATCCAGAGTATGTTCCCCAGCAGAGTAAAAACATGGCCCAGGATTTGGTCAGCCCGAGGGCCTACCGTGGCTACCCTCCCATGGAGCACATGTTTTCCTTCTCTCAGCCTTCGGTTAATGAGGAGGCGGTCAGTGCCCCATTTGTGAGCCAGGGGTCAAGGCCAGGTTTTTTGAGAAGAGCAGATTCATTGGCAAGCTCCACTGAAATGTCAATGTTCAGAAGAGTCAGTGAACCACATGAACTGCCTCCAAGCGATAGGTATGGCAGGCCTCCGTATCGAGGAGCTGTGGAGCGCCAAAGCAGTATCTCAGTGTCTGAATCTCAGTTCCTCAAAAGGAATGGCAGGTATGAAGATGAACATCCTTCATATCAAGAAGTGAAAGCCCAGACTGGAAGCTTTCCAGTTAAAAACCTTACACAAAGGAGGCCATTGTCTGCAAGAAGCTACAGTACAGAGAGTTATGGTACATCCCAAACCAGGCCAGTTTCAGCTAGGCCTACAATGGCAGCTCTGCTGGAAAAGATACCATCAGACTATAACTTGGGTAACTATGGTGACAAGCCTTCAGATAACAGTGATATAAAGACAAGGCCTACCCCTGTGAAGGGAAATGAAAGCTGTGCTAAAATGCCTGCTGACTGGAGACAACAGCTACTTAGACATATAGAAGCTAGAAGGTTAGACAGGGTATGTTTGGCATTTCTCTGCAATTAATGCCTTTAGTTGTGTGTTTTGATATTTAAAACTATTTGCACTTACAGTGGTAAACATCAGAATTCCCAGTAATGAAATTCCTGCTTTTTGTGTTAGAGGAACTGGCCTGTAGAGCTTTCTGTCAACACATAAAATCAGCTGGAGTTAGGGATTCTTGGGGAAAGGAATTATAAAGAGTCCCTATAAAAGTAACTTACCACAGTGCACATTACTAATTTAATAGTAGTAATTTAACTACTGCAGCACTGGCTGAAATACTAAAAAAAAAAAAAAAAAAAAAAAAAATCTCTCCTTATCAGCAGATGTGAATATGCTGCTGAAGTCCACATCTTTGGTAATGATTTGGGAGATTAAAAGATGCTGGATACGTCTTTGCAATAAAAGGAAATAAAAAAAAATCACAGCTAAAAAGTAAAGAAAAATGTATTTTAGCTTTCATATCACTATTAGTGGATAACACTGCCACTGTTTTTAACAAGAAATATTATTATTATTCCCTTTAGCAACAGAAAGTTATGCTTATTTGCCTTCTATATAGAGTGTAGTACAAACAATATAGTGCATGATTTCTACAATGATTTTGACTATTTAATGACCTGCTTCATGAGTCTGGTTTTGCTTCATAAACTGAAGTGACTGAAAAAATTACTGTGGCCTAATGCATAAATTAGCTTCAAAATGTGTCCATATACGTATTTTATGCTAGATATTTGTGAGTCTGGTGTTAATATATTCATTACCTTTCGCGTCTCAGATGTGATGCATATTAAAATATCATTAAGGATCAAATGCATAAACTTTAAAAATTGGCTTGAAGGCTGAAGCTTTTCCCTTACTTCAGCTGTTTTCCTTGTGTTATGTAAAAGTGATTGGAGAATACATAATAATACCTGGGCAAAATAGTGCAGGCTAAGTACAGAAGTTTCTGCTGAAAATCTGTATTTGCCAGATGTTATTTGTTTAAGAAATATCTTTACACTTAGTTTAAAAATGTGTATACACTTAAGAAGTACTTTAATTCACGGAAAGCTGACACTGGTGATTTTAGCTAATTAAATTGTGTTCCTAGGGTTTTCTGCAGGTGGAAGTGAGCTGGTTTATAGGCGCTTTCAACACGCAGTAAGAAAAACCCTAAGAAGTTTGACTGGCTAGTGGAGATGTTGTCGAGCTGGCGAGAACGCCTGGGCGCTGCCCGGCAGCCGCACAGCGCACAAGGTGGTGCGGAGTCTTCTTGCCAGGGTTTTTTTTTTTTCCCCTCCGCCTTTGAATCCCTTTTATGCTAGATATACGCTTTCTGGCCCATCCATGGTTGTGCAGACATACCAAAATTTGGCCATATTTGCAAAATAAAGACTTGTACCATGTTGTATACTGCAGATTTCAGACTAGAGATAACGACATATTTCATTTGCTGTCAGCGTTGAAGTCTTTTTTTATGGTATCCATTCTATGTATAACTAGCAATGTATTTGCTTCTGTCTGACCCAGTGCATGCATCAAAAAGCTATTTATTTCTTGGTACTGTTTGTTTGCTTAAACTAAAACTTTGTGAAATTAACCATATATGTGTGATATTTAATTCAATGAGCATGTGTGTTCATATCCTGTCACGTGGTTGTTTCCTCTACTCAGACCGCTGCTTACAAACACAACACAGTTAGCCTTGGCATGCTGCACTCTGGAGGTTTTTCAGCAATGCATGCCGGCAGAAGCATGACTTTAAACTTGCAGACTAAATCTAAATTTGAAAACCAAATGCCTCAAGAGCTACCTCTACCGAAAGTAAGTATGGGATAGCCAGCATATACCAGCCTTACAAAATAAATTAATACTCCTTTGCTTTTTCCTGGTTCAGCTTTGCCTATTCTTCATGCTTATACTATACGCAATCCAAAAAGCAAAGATGCTAGTAACGTAGTTTGCCTAGTCAATAACCTTGCTTTTTGGATTAAGTAGCTCACATGGCTGTCATTACCGCTTTCTGCTCTTGTGTTTTATATAGACTGATGCGATCATTGTATTTTCCCAATGATATAGTCTGAGTATAGAACGGGAGAACATATTTTGTGTTGTGACTTTCTGATCTTAGAAAAATTAATGTAGAAATGTTTAAGATGCTTTTAAATAGGCTCCAAGAGACAGGGATTTACACATTTGAACACTAATCTGGGTATGCTGTAATGTCTGATAAGCTTTGGGTACTTGCCTACTATACCTAAAATAATTTTAAATTTTTGTTGTGAGTAATGCATATAGAAAGATAGGAAATATTTTTTCCATTTCTTTAATGTTTATTTTACAGCTATTAATGTTATATTGTTGATACATACATACATATATAAATATTTATAAATAAATGTTTGATGGGAAAAGCAGTTACAGCAAGCCAGAGAGGAACGTTGCCAAAGTATTTTCAGAGCATCAGAGAGGGGATTCTTCTCTAAGTCACGTGTGGCCACGCTGGAGTCACAAGAGGAATCGGTTTGCCATATGATTGCAAGCAGTCTTGTTATTTGGATTGTATATAATGTCAGTGGGACTGCTGTAGTGCTATAAGACACGAGCGTTAAGTGTCTGACTGCATTAGCATCTGTAGTTCTCATTTAGCTGTTGGTACAAAGTAGCTACATCTCTGTGAGTAATTAAATGGCAAGAGGGCGCAGATCCAGGCTCTGAAATGTGATCATCTGTGCTGTTAATTGCTTGACTGGCCTCTGGTGCGGTTTTGACCCAGCCACCTGGCGCTCCCCCAGGCAATTCCTGCCAAGGCTCGGGAGTCGGCACTGGCCAGAAATTCCCAAAAGGCAATATCAGGGCCGGACTGAAGAGTTTCGATCCCGCCCTGTTCAGGAGGGTGAGGCAATTCAGTGGCAGCAACATGACCAGATTGTGCTTGTTGGCAACAGGGCAGGCCTTAGCGCTACTTGGTTTATTACTATAGGTGTATGCATAGTGTACTGGATGTCCAGGCGAAGCTGTGGGAGTTGAACAGCACACGCGCGTGCACGCACATGCACATCGCTGTCAGGTTTCTCCTGCTGCAGCTTACTTTCCCCATTCTGTTAACGTCATTTCCTTCTCCCATTCCAGCTATCCATGGAGTGCAACAGGTCCTGATGTTACCGTACGCTTCTCCATTGTTGCTCGGTTAATGACATCTGGGTCACATCTTAAGTGTAGATCTATGTTTGTTTGGACACAGGCAGCTTTCCAGTGTTGGTCATATTGTATTTTCTGTCCAAGAATGTTTGTCTGTTTGTATATATGCTAATTCTTCTCACAAGTCCTTGCCAGATGTCCATTTGACCTTAACTCCAAACGGTGCTACTATTTTTGTGCACACATTTAGGAATAAGGCATTACATATTACTTTAAAAATCGTAGGGTATAAATGATGATGGATTCTAATATATGGATATCTGAGGATATGTTTAGGGTGACATGTTCTTGGGTGGGGTCTTATGTGAATTACTCTGCTTTATATTCCGCCAGCATTTCATTGCTACATATCCATGTAAAATCTGATTTTAAGATGCATGGAAGGGATGTATTCTTGTACTGCACAGTTTGGAAAGCAAGGGAAAAAATATTGCTGATCAAATAATTTGAATGTATGGAATTGCTTAATTTTATTTCTTCACATGTTCTAGAAGATTTTGTATTTCTCAGTGAATCCAGGCCACAGCAGTTTAATACATACTTCTTTCTCTTTATTGCGACCTAGACTCAGAAGAGTAGTAAGTGAGGTCTAATTGTCCAGTGCAAGCTCAGAAAACCAACTGTAACAATTGCTTATACTGAGAAAGATTATTACATTGAGTCTACTCTGTCTATAACGTGTTTTAACTGCTGGTTTTCATTTTTTTTACCTAGACATAATAGATCTGTAATTTTTACTGGTCTGCAGTCCATCCAAGCTCTGCAAATGAATAATATTGCAAGCAGACTAATCCATTGCACTGCAGAAAATGAAAAGAAAAACCTGTTATCACAGAATTTTCCTTTTTTATTCAGAAAGCAGTAAGCACTCTCTATATTTTTTCTTTTTTTCTTCTTGAGTGTTAACTCACCTCTAGAGATTAGTCAGTCACTTATGAAAACGGCACAGCGTTCTCTGCAGTGACAAAAGAAACGCTTTTCAGGAGAATACTTTCAATTTTTATCATCCGTGTCAGAATTCTTTTAAAACTGTGTGGATTGGTGAACTTCAGTCTCAGAAGTACAGCACCATAATCAGCATTTCACAAAGTGTATCCCTTTAGGAGGAAAACCAGAAGTCCCCGTAGGAAGCTGCCTCCACATACTCCCCTATGGCTCTGGATGGCTGAGAGCACATAACACGTTTTATAAATTCTTCTCCCAGGGAGGTGACCAGATTTCCCGCATAGCCTTGGGCATCTCAGTCTGTGGGTGAGACTGGAAGGGATGACTCACATCATCACAAAGAAGATCTGCCTGCTTTTCCCGTTTTTTTTATTACTCCTCCGAGAAGAAATTTTGCAGTGGTACATTTTCATTTGGGAAGTTGTTTGCCGCGTGATCTCAGATGATGTACCCCTGGCTCGGGTGAGGGTTACGTGGGGACAGCAGTCAGGCAGCAAACGGGAGAGAATGGCTGATTCATGGGTCTGGGAAGGCAAAGAGCCCCCTGACTGGGCCCAGAGCGGGACCCCTATTCTGACCTCTGGACAGGCGGGACGCGGCGCGTCCTGGGCTGCACGGCTTCGGCAGCCTTCCTCCTCCCCGCTGCTCTGCAGCGTGGTCCAGCCAGGCCGCTGGCCGTCCTAGCGGTCTGTTGGGACAAAAGGGCTTAGCGGTGTCGGGGGCACGCGCAGCCACGCGGCCGGTTGTCCTGCTTTGCCTGCAAGACGCAGCAGCGGCGCGTCAGTGTAGAGTTCTGCGCTCGCCTTTGCCGTTTTAGAGAGTTTTGTGCTGTCAGTCAGAGTGACAGCAGCAGCTCTGCTGGGCCAGACACGTGGACCGGTGTCTGCTGAGCTGTAAGAGATAACCTGTGGAAAAAGTACTGAGGTTGGTCTCATTTTTCCCTTTTTATTATGTGTAAAGAAAGCTCTAAGGGGAGGCCTTGTGTTTTCAACAGGGGAAATGTTTGGAATAATTTTTTTAATTTAAGAAGTATCGCATCTTTCCTGATTTTTGTAGGGGGCTTTCTGAATGATGAGAGAATTAGAATGACAGCTTTTTTAGATTTCAGATAATTGGGGATGAAAATTTTTACTTAACCACTGAGGAATTTGATTTAAATCACGATTTACTGATATTTAGTTTCAAAACATTTTTAAGCTTGTTGAAAAAAGCCCTTAATTGACCAGTTACCAGCTTTAATATTTCAAAGCCACAGTTCCGTTTGTTCTTCAGTCATCTAAAGAAGTGTTTCATGATTTTTCTTCCTAAGTTGAAGAAGATATTGAATGATGGAGGAGAAAAAATAGACACTTTTTTTTTCTTTGCAGGTCACCATTAATTAAAACTGAATGAGCGGTTAACTGAATTAAGCACTTTGTAATGATAACTGCTGTTAGTGGTATTATAAAGTTGGCATTTTGAAAGGCCTGGCATAAAAAGTGATAGCTATGTGAGCAAAATTTCCACCTAAAATAAACAAATACAGACAAATGATAGAAAATTCAGTTAGGACAGAAAATGGACACGTGCCCCCAAGCTACTGAAAACAATGAGGAAAATAACCAGTGAAAAATCTAACAAAGAAGAAATGTGGCCAAAAAGAAAGAAAAGCAGAAAAGAGTGACATAAGTATAATACCCATTCAGGAAACATTAAATGTGTGTTCTGACCATTCATATCCGGGAAAGCATTTAATTACTGGTTAATATTACGTATATGATGTCCTGTTAACTTAAGTAGAACAAAAGCAGTCATATCCTAGAGAGAGGTCTATAAAAAGTATATGACACGGTGTAACATAGAGCACAGCTCAAGGTACAGCAGCCAGAACTTTGATATTGTCATTAAGGAACATTTTATAAAGAAAATATAAGCTTATAATTTAATATTGATGGCAAATATTTAGTAAAGTTTTTTGATAATTGAATGACCGACCGGTAAGAAATTTCTAATTCAAATGATTAATGGCAGACTACAAGGTTAAATATGTAACTGTGGCCAAGATTTGTTGTTCTGAAGATAAGGATTCATATTAAATTAATTTTCTCTTTTCTCTCATCATTCATTATTCTCATCATTTCTCTAAAGATCTCTTATCTGCGGACAGTCTCATGACAATATGTTTGCATGTTAACAAAATGCCATAACATTTAAGATGGTTTCCTTTCTAACAGTAGTGTGTTGCCGTTTAACTGGGTTGATTACTAGAATAAATATGAAGAGAGAATTTTCTGTCATGATCTGTCAAGTGACTAAAGGGTGCCGTCCCGTTTCCGCAATAGACCCCATCACAGCAGAGCAGCATCCTAGACAACGGGCAGGAGGAGGTTTCGGCGAGCAGCCAGTGGAACCCCTACCCCCTGGGGCGGCGCGACGTGCCCCCGGACACCATCACCAAGAAGGTAAGCAGCTCAGCGCAGCCGCGCGAGGGAAACTGCTGGCATAGCAACAACTTTTTTCTGTTCCTAGCAAATCAGTGGAAGAAGGAGAACGGGTTAATGAGGACCGGTTTGGGACGCAGATATTTTTAGTTCAAAGTTTAAAGCAGTAATCACTATGAATTACCGGCCATGTTTTCATGCCTGCTACCCATTTTTGTATTCACGTGTGCAGATGCTAATAGTTAACATCTATAGCGC